AGGCTAGACTCAACGTATTATGCTGGTGATTTGATTTGATGATTTGACCTAGTGATTTGAGGCTTGTGACTTGAACTAGGGTCTTGCGAGCGCGAGCGTGTTTGCTACCGGGGTACAGCCCTACCAGGAAGTGTTCGGAGACGTCTCCGGCGAACACCTCAGGAACTAGAGCTGGGCGAAGAATCGATTCCGGAACCGGTTCCCAAAATTAATACTATGGAAGAAAAGTTCCGACTTCAGTTTACGAAAACCAACGGTTACCAGTAATTTCAATCATTTAAATCCTCCTCTTCTTTTCGAAGTTATTTTTGAAAAACACAAAACCAGTTGATGCTTTGTTGTGTTCCGAAATCAAGGTTATCCTAATTCCTGAAGATGTTCGGAGCCAATTAGGTAAACACTGAAAGAAGTCAAATCATTAGAAAGTAAGTTATAGGGTTCGGAGACGATTCCTACGATTCCTTGCCTTCAATAATCGGGAACCTCGCCGCCCAGCACTACCAGGTACTTTCGGAGACGCACTCCCGCACACAGATGCACTGCTTTTGGTTGTGGGGAGGGGGTGGGGTGGGGTGGGGTCAAACTGCGTATTGTTTGCTGCAGACCACATATATAGGCTACATTGTTCGGTATAGCCACTAAAACATTCGCAAATCAATTCCGTAACCCTCCAGATTTTTTTTTACTTGGTCTAGAGGCACAAAACATTTTGATTGGTCTAGAATCTAGTGCTGGGCGCCAGGTTCCCGATTATTGAAAGCTAGGAATCGTAGGAATCGGACTTCGAACCCAATTACTTACTTTCTAATGATGTGATTTCTTCCGGTGGTTACCTAGTTGGCTCCGAACATCTTCAGGATTAAAGACAACCTTGATTTCGGAACATTACGGGGAACCAACTTTTGGTTTAAAAAATTAACCTATTAAACAAAAGAAAAAGATTATAATTATTAACGTAACTGGAAACCGTTAGTTTACGAAAAGGAGTCGGAACTTTTCTTCCGTAGTATTAATCGCGGGAATCGATTCTTTGCCCAGCTCTACTAGAATCCGTCGGAGCCGTCTCCGAATAGATACTGTTGGTGGAGGTGGAGGTGGTG